AGAGTAAAAGACAGAGGATAAGGGGATCCTGAGAAACTACACCCAGTTGTGACTCGAGATACACCTACAACCAACCCCTACAGCCAGACCAACAGCAACATCAAAGGCACAAACCAGCAGCCTACCAGCAACAAATCTTCTAGCTAGGAACCAGACCACACACAGCAAAACAGTGCACCAACCTGCAGCTGCCACTCACCCTTGCTTCAAGACACAGACCACCAACCAGACAGAGAGCTGCTGCTGAGCCACAGCAACAGGTCAGCCAGCAGACCTTCTAAACCGAGCAGGCAGGTAGCATACAGTTCAAACCACCAGCAGCATACCAGCAAACTAACCATTCCCAACCCGAATCTCCTGAATGTTGCAGATAATCTGCTGCACTGAGTAACAGCAATCCTGGTTGTACAATTTGGCCCACAAAGCAATCCTTGTCTTGATTAACTCACACAGCTCCTCCAATTGCATTTGGCTATCACAGAATAGTTTCTCATTCCTGAATTTCCATAATGACCACAACACCGCAAATGGTATAATTCGCCAGATCTTGTTGAGGTTTTTTCTCCACTTGAAGCCCCTCCACCAATTAAGAATCCCTTCCACTGTTTGTGGAATTACCCAAGTCAATCCCCACCACTTCATCAGATCACACCAAATTCTCCAAGCAAAAGGGCACCAAATAAGAAGGTGAAAAACAGATTCTAACCCGTCATTACAAAGCACACACATAGCAGAGGCTTCCGGCTCCAACACACCAATCCTCTGAAGAAAAGTAGCTGTTTTTAGTCTCCCCTTCCATGCTAGCCACACTAGAAATTGAACCCTTGGAGGAGAAAAACTATTCCAGATGAACTTAGTTACTACTAGTCTAGTTGAAGGCACAGCCAGAGAATATAAAGATGAGACCGAAAACTCAGCAGATGGAGATGCCAACCACCCAAGTCGATCCTCCCTATCCGAGAGGCCAACCATATTCTGGTCCACAAAGGTACTCAATCTTCCAAGCTCATCATTCTCCCAACCCAATAACCTTCTTCTAAACTTGAAATTCCACCTAGGTGAAGCTTCCTTCCTCTGTAGCACCAACCTCAGAGACACCTCCTTTTCAGTTGAAAGACTATACATCCTAGGGAGCCAGAGAATGTAGTATTAGGCAACCAATTACCACCCACTGACCCGTACCTACTACACAAAACTCTTTTCCACACAGTATTTGATTCAGCCCCAAACCTCCACCACCATTTAGTCAACAAGCACTCGTTAACCATCTTGACTCTTCTAATACCCAAACCCCCATTCTCTTTGCTTTTGGTTGCTTCCACCCAACTGACCAGATGAACTTTCCTCTTCAAGTCAGACCCTCCCCAGAGAAAATTTGCTTGGATTCTTTCTATATCCTTAGCCACAGATACAGGAATCTTGAAAATAGATAAATAATAGATAGGCAGACTAGATAACACAGATTTTATAAGAACCAACCTCCCACCAAAGGATAGGAATCGTCTTTTCCAAGAAGCTAATCTACCTCTGCATTTTTCTATGACTGGTTTCCATGTTTTTCTTAACCTGGGATTAGCCCCCAAAGGCAGACCAAGATACGTCATCGGAAGCTTCTGGCTTGCACAATGGAGTCTTAAGGCAAACTCCTTCACCTCTTCATCTGACACACCAATTCCACAAAGGGAACTCTTATGAAAGTTAATCTTCAACCCTGAAACCAGTTCAAAACACCTCAGAATTCGTTTAATAACCATGACCTCCTCCATATTGGCTTCACAAAAAATTATTGTATCATCGGCAAATTGGAGATGTGAAACCACCACTTTATCTTTGCCCACTACAGCTCCCTTGACCAGCCCCAAAGATCTGGCTCGATCCATTAACATATTTAGCCCTTCAGCTACCAAATTGAAAAGGAATGGAGACAACGGATCACCTTGCCTAAGGCCTTTTTCAGGAAAAAACTCAGCCGTAGGGGAGCCATTCACTAACACAGACACTCTGGCCGATGTTACACACTCCTTGATCCACCCTCTCCACCTAGCCCCGAACCCAAAATTTTCCATCATAGAAACAAGACACTCCCAGCTGACAGAGTCATATGCCTTCTGAAAGTCCAGCTTGAGAATCAACCCTTTTTTCCGACTCCCCTTCCACCAATCAACAATCTCATTCGCAATGAGTACACCATCGAAAATGTTTCTACCTCCCAAAAACGCTGATTGAACCTCACCAACCACCCTAGGCATCACCTTCTTGATTCTATTAGACAAGACCTTCGCTACAATCTTGTACAGAGACCCAATGAGACTAATCGGCCTAAAATCTGATAAACTAGAAGGGCATTCAATTTTTGGGATCAGAGTGATGAAAGAATTATTCACACCAGCCCACAATTTCCCACTATCATAGAATTCTTTGAAAAATAGCAGGACATCAGACTTCACACAACCCCAGCACTTCTGAAAGAACAGCAGATTAAACCCATCAGGACCAGGAGACTTATTCCCATCACAACTCCTAATAGCACTCCACACCTCATCTTCAGTAAAATCTGCTTCCAGGGTTCCAGCCACTGGATCCTGACCAATAGATTTAAATTGACCCATCAACTTTGGCCTATTCCTCCAATTTTCAGAGAACACGCCTTTAAAATGCTTTAACACCTCCTGCTTCACCAAAATAGGATCCTCGAAGAGTACCCCGCCCCCTGTAATTGAGTTCAGCAAGTTTCGATTCTGTCTAGAGGATGCAATGATATGGAAATACCTTGTATTCTTATCCCCCTTCAAGCTCCAGTCTAGTCTTGATTTCTGAAGCCAAAGCCACTCATCCCTCTTCCTAAGAGACCACACCTCCTTTTTGACTTCCCTTCGTCTGGCAATCTCAGTCTCTGACAAGTCTCTAGCCTCGGCCACCAGATCAAGCTCATGAAGCTCCACCTCTGCTTTTTTGAGGGAGTAGGAAATATTGTCAAACACTTCATCATTCCACTTTTTCAATTCCAACTTGAGATATCTAAGTTTTGTAGCGATGACAAATCCTGCCCACCCAGAGACATTTGAAGTCTCCCATATTTGCTTGACCACATCTAAAAAATTAGGATGTAACAACCAAGCATTTAAGAACCTAAATGGCTTTGGCCCCCAGTCCCTCTCATCCTCCATCAATACCAATGGACAATGGTCAGACACACCCCTTGGAAGGCCCCACAGCTTAAAATTAAACCTACTCAACCACTCAGGCGCTAGAAGAACTCTGTCAATTCTACTCCACTTACCCCCATCTTCTGAATTACTCCAAGAAAATTGCCTGCCATGCATTGGGACATCATACAAGGCTAACCCTTCAATAAATTCGTTAAACTCTACCATCCCTTTATCCCTTCTTAAACACCCTCTTCTGTCCCCTAAATCTCTAATTTCATTAAAATCCCCTCCTACACACCAAGGATCTGGAAATCCTAGATTGAGACTAGTAATGACATTCCACACTTGCCTTCTACTGACTACATCATTAGGCGCATAAACATTAACCAAAACACACCTAAAATCTGGAAGCAGTGTACCTGACAGTAGGAGAAACCTTCTTGAACCACAGCACTGAGTTAATGCGAACACTGAGGGCTTCCACAAGCAAAGCAGCCCACCGGCCGAACCTTCCGCATCAACGTACATATATTCCAATTCATCAACATGCCAAATCGACCGAACCAACTCATCCGACATACTCTCTTTCTTTGTCTCTTGAAAAAATGCAAAATCAATTTTTCTCTCTTTGAGGAGAGACCTGATTCTTCTTCTCTTTTCCGGCCTTCCAATCCCCCTAATATTCCAGGACAGCAACTTCATTAAAAACCTCACAAAAAGCGCCTAAATCACCCATGAAAACCGTCTAAATTAAGACAGTTTCATCCATTTTAGCTGCCCTCTCCACATCATTTTTTTCCAGCTCCATAATTATGTGGACTACTTCCTTTTCCTTCCCTTGAAAACTGATGCCCAAAGCTTTACCCATCTCCACTGTCTTTCGGGCTTCCTGAGGGCCTTGATCTTCTTCCTTCTCTGCCTCACAAGCCGCACTTGACCGAGATAAAACAGCCGCAGCAACTCTGAATGCAGGTCCTTTATGCCACACTCCTAGAGCAGATGGTCCGCCAAATCGACCTCCCTTTCCCTGTTTCCGAGCTAGCTTGCCACTGTCTCCCTTCAACCTGGGCAGCAGAGCTTTCCCCTTCCCTACTGTCTTGCAATGTTGAAATTTCATCCCCTTCCGATCCACATTCTGGCCCACCTCCTGGCCTAAATCCATTAAGTCCACACTCACAACTTCTGGGTTGGGCCTAGACACAACCTCCTTGTTTTGGGCCTCCTCTAAAAGTACTTGAATTCGAATCCCAGGCCTCTCAAATCCAGATCCACTTATACTTTTCATAAACCCAGGAGTCACAATTTCCTCATCCTCTCCCTCCCTCTCCTTACACCCCCTCTTATCTACCGATGCAATAACAATATCTTTTCCACTGTTGCATGCTTCTGCCACTTTTACATTCCCCATACTTGGAATGATTGTTTCTCCCACTAGCGACTGGGATGAATCGACCCCCTCCCACTCACCTGACCCTTGTATGCCATGCGTCCCAACATCCTTCTGCAAAGCTGCCATGCCATTCCTCTTCCGGACAGTCTGCTCACCAGTATCTGCCACTGCAACTTGCAACTCTCCTTCCACCTCAGCCACCTCCTCTGCTACTGGTACACCATTGCTGCCAAACCTGTTCTCCATATTGTTTGAGCTACATCTTTCATGAAGAGAGCACTTACAGGTTTCTGTGATAGTTTTAGTTACCCTAACTTGTTCCTCACAAACTCGAACTGGATAATTTCTTCCAGAACACCTCACCTGAATCACTGAGTTTATATACCCCATATAAGAGGTAACAATTTTAATTCTGCCACATTTGAACGATAACTGGTTGGTTGTCTCCTCATCCAACCTGATTACCTCCCCCCATAATCTCCCAATCTTGTTAAAGGTGTCTGGACTCCATAGATTAAGTGGAACACCATAACAACTCAACCAAACTTCACGTTCTTGCTCTATGTGCCCGAACTTCTTCCATACTGAGACTGATTCGCACCAGTCATGCAAGCAGTCCTTTAGTATTGATGCATTTTCCTTCAAATCTTCAGATGATTTAAATGACACCACTGCCATTCTTCCTCCCCCCCTCCTAACCAGCATTTCTGCTGATCCTTTTTCCATGACTGCTTTTCGGAAATTTGAAAATGAGTAATAGCTTTTCAACTTGACAATAAAGCTATCATATAGCCATCCATTCCCTGCCTCATGGGCTATCACCAAGGGACCTACACTTTTCTTGCTATCTCCCAGCTGCACAGCTTCTGCATATGACCGATAGCCTATGCTTGTTTGAGCTTTTTGGCTCTTTTGCCACCGAGAGCCTCCCTCCTCTCTTCCAGATCCGTTCCCTGGTTGGCCTTCTTGCCTTCCTCTGCCACCTGCTGCTTTCTTTTCAAACTCTGCTTTCTTAACTCTCAAGGCTTTATCATCACACCACAGGCCATTAGCTTTTTGGATTGCCACTTCAGCAGCTACAGGACAATCGTACCTGACAAAGCCAAACCTGGACCGCGTAGATTTCCTTAACTTATTTGGAATGAATACATCTCGAACAATTCCAAACTTCATAAACAGATCATTGAGCCTCTTCGAGCTAAAGGATGAGGGAATATTGTCAACAAAGATTGTGTGAGTACCAGCTCGGCTTCCATCATGGCTCTGCGAATGCTTACCCTTGCCATATAGCACTGGTTTCCACCCTCCTCCTACCATGCTTTTCTCTGTGTGAGTCGTACTTTTTGCATGCTCAATTCTTAACTATCCCAAAGCATTTCTCCTTTGTCTTTTCTTTTGCCAAAGGGCGGTTGAAACTTGCCCACATGAGTGATATGTGTCATGCCTTTTGGGACAAAATTGTAAACTCCATCAATTCAGTGAATAAATCTCAATCAACTTAGTGATCATTTTTCATTAAAAAATAAAAAAATAAAATAACTAATGGCATTGTCAATTGAACCAAATTGACACAAAATTTAAAATTAATGGTCAAAATTGAACTAATTAAAAATGTAATGTCAAAATGATACAAAAGACAAAATGTAAAAATTACCGAGGTAATTTATCCTTATAACAATTATCATGTTTAGGGGTATTTTCGGGAAAAAAAATTATGTAACGTCTACACCAACATATGCGTTTACTTTATAAATTAGTATCGATGGTGCTACATGTACTAATTAGTGTACTAATTAATATACCAACACTAATTATGACATTATTATTGACTCCACCCATTATACAAATTACAAATATTAAAAACTTCTTAAATTATGTCACATCATCAATTGATATACTAATTAGTACACTAATTCGTTCATATAGCATTATTCAATTCGTGTATATATTTATTAATGGTAAAAAGCCATTGGCTTACTATTTTTCATCTAAAATTTTGTGTACATTTCATTAACAATAAGTTCAGAGAGTCTCCCCAATTTATTTAAAAATTTACCAACTGCATTGATAGCCTAATTAACTGAAGACAGTAAATATTTGGGTAAATTAGGTAGGCTCCCCTAATCTTATTGCTTCATTAATGATGCGTTGAATTTAAAAAGGGCATTTTATTAATAAATTTTATTTAGAAGTGTTCTAACTCAAGAAGTTCATGGAGGAATTTTTTAACATACTTAGTCTGATGTATTTATATTTTTATTCCATAAAATCTTTTTTCTTGATTTACATTATTTTCTTAAACTATTATGCCCTTATATTTAATATTGATATTTAATGTTAGAGGAGGAGAGAGAAGGGGAAGGACAAATATATAGAAAATTTCATACACAAATTAAATAATATTGATGTTATTATTTTATATTATTATATAATGTGAATATATTTTTAATTGACAACACATTAAAAATAATGTGAATATTCTCTCTCATCTGATGTGAACGTTCACAACACTTTTTCGAAAAATTCTCTCTCATCTAATGTAGTGATGTGAACGTTCACAACATGTGAACCTTCTTATTTTTAATTGACAACGCATTCTTATTCACAACATGTAGTGATGTGAATATTCACAACATGTGAACATTCTCTCTCATCTAACATAGTGATGTGAACGTTCACATTTGTTTGTTTTAGTATGAATATTTACATCATGTAATTAACAACACAATAACAAAAATTAATTTCAAATTAATATGAATATAATGATGTGAATATTCATTTCAATTACATGATGTGAATATTCACATCATGTAATTGACAACACAATGACAAAAATTCGTTTCAAATTAATATGAATATAATGATAGTCAACATCTTCATATATAGGAACTACCAAAATATAATAACAATCAACATTAAATACCAACATTAATAGGGGTAGGAGAGATTGAGGGTATTTTGGCCTTCTTACCTCAAATATGACCTAATGCAATAGTAAAAAATAATATAAATTAGATGGAATAAAACTCTTAAAAAAATAATTTATCAAAAAAGCTCTCTTAATAAATTATCAATAACATATCAACTAGACACAATAAGTGAGTCTCACGTCAAATGGTAGAATCTACCTTGGTAAGTGATCATTTTCTCAATTTAAAAACACTAAGAAATTTGAATAAATTTCAAAATTTTATCCCAATTTTTTAGTTATGGGATGCTAAGAAATTTGAATAAATTTCAAAATTTTATCCCAATTTTTTAGTTATGGGATGAAATTTACTTTTTTTTTTTCTTACAGTAATTTTTTATTATAAAATTCCCTAGTTTTGTATGAAAATTTTCAGTTTCTCTAAACTAAGTAATTCGTCAATATTTTTTTTTTTTTGAATTTTATGCAAAACATCTTGGATGATATTTCGTTATTTCATCTTAGTTTTTGGATTTGCGATTATTTTTTTATTTTTGGGTGATGAAATTTCATTATTTCATCCTGATTTTTGGATTTTGGGATGCAAATATTTCTCCGATTTCGGGATGAAAATATTTTAGTTTGGTTGATGAAATTTCTTTGTTTCATCCTAATTCTAAGTATATAATTGCAAAAGGCTACATTACACACCACACCATAAGAAAAGTTATCAATTTTTACGGTATCAGTTAGGAAACGTTATGGTATAATTTATTTATTTATTTATTTTGGCGAATTACACTAACAGTTTCTATAGTTTGGGACTCGTATTACTTTAATTCTTTACTTTTTAATTATTATACATTTCACCTTAAATTTTGCATCTTCTTCCAAATAAGGACAATTGAAGATACTATTACTTAATTTCAAGGGTAAAATCGTTAATTTGATAAAATATAAAGTAATTTGACAAAAATAAATGTCAAAAAAATATTTTTGAATTTTAAAAAATTATTTCTTCACACCAAAGATAAAATTATGTAAAATTAATAAATTTTTTATACACTTATTTATTTATTTATTTTACCAAATTAATTTTTAATGTGTTTGGATGATGATCATTTAATAATGGTTGTTTTTATTGATGCTTTTCGATGATTATCATGTAATAGATACTTGTATTTGTTGTTAACAAATATTTTTGAATGATTATCATGTAATAGATAGTTATTAGGTTTTTAATGTGTAATCCATATATTCAATATATGAAATGTTTTTAATTTTAGATTTTTTGACTTAATAGATTAGTTTAATAATGATATCAAAGTTATCGTCATATTTGACTTTTGAAAAAATAACTAATTTAACGAAAATAAAAATAACCACCCATTACATAATCATCATCCAAACATATACTAAAAATTAATTTGGTAAAAATAAATAAATAAATATGTAAAAGATTTATTAATTTGATATAATTTTATCGTTTTTTAAAAATTCAAAAATAATTTTTTGACATTATTTTTGTCAAACTAGTTTATATTTTATAAAATTAACGACTTGAAATTGAGCAATGGTATCTTCAATTGTCCTTAATTAGAACGAGATTCAAAATTAAGGATTAAATGTATCACAATTGAAAAGTTAGAGATCAAAGTAACACAAGTCTCAAACTATAGAGACTGTTAGTGTAATTCGTCATTTTTTCTGTTAATCGATAGGAGAGTAATTATAAATATGAGATATATTCTATCAAACATTATTAAGGTTTCATTTGGGAACATGTTATTTTAATAATTTTTTAGTTTTTTGACTAAAATATGAGGTAAAAAAATTAATATGTTTGGAATGATTTTTTGATTTTTTATGAAAAGATGTGCAAAAAATAGAGAAGAAATAAAATCTTTAACTTTTTTTTTATATAATTTGTTAAATTTTTAGATTTTTTAATGACTTAAATTTTTAGACTAAAATGTGATATTGCCAAACAAAACCTAGGTCTGATAATAGGTACACAGTCAACAAACACCAAGCCTGACAATTAATCACTAATCTCAAAGTCAGCCCAACAACTATTACTAAGCTACATGCAACCCTCACAAGGGGGTGAAATAAACTACAACAAAAGGGTATCAACCATCTCTCAATTAAAATTGAATCTACAATCTCACAGTATAAAATGGTGTTATATAATCAATAGATTAAATACCCTGATCTGTTATGGTATGATTATGAAGGGCACAACGTATAAAAATATATATATAACGAACTGCTATAGTAGTGTTATGAATATCAAAATATTACGAACCAATGTGAATTTTTTTTTTGTTACAAATTATTGTGGTATAATTATTAGAGTTTTACTATATGCACATTTCACGAGTGTATAATTTTTTTCTCCAAATAGTATATATATTGTGTAATATAAAATTCTTCTACTATATATATATATATATATTAGTTAGGCCATTCTACAATACACATTGCTTTTTGAGATGTACCATATACAAATTATGATATTTCTGATGTTAGTATTACAAATGCCATAATTAAATTAGGTTTAAGTTATAACCAAAAAAAAAAACTTACTAAATTATAACCAAACACTACTTGAGGTGTAATCAAAAGTCTTCTCGATCGTAATCAAAATAATAATAATAAAAAATCATAATTAATATTATAATGTGTCATAAAACCTCCTCAATCATAATAACAATAAAAATTATTACAACTCATAATTAAATCATAATTAATATCACAAAGCGTTCTAATCCAATCATCACCAAATACACAAAAGTCATAAAAATTTATCATACAATAATAACATTGTGCAGTTACAAAAGAATAATGCTATATGCACTAATTAGTGTTCACACTAGTGTACAAACAGATGATATGACATAATTTTAGAGGTTTTGAGTATTTGTAATTTATATAACAAATAAGGTCATTAATGATATCATAACACTTGTTGGTATACTAATATGTACACTAATTGGTTCATGTAACACAACCGGTTATGAAATGATTACAAGCCAAGAAGTGCATACACAAATATGAATACGGAATACAACTATTTATAAACAATTAATAGGTGATGCGATACCATATATATATATATATATATATTTATGTATATAAATATAAACTTAAAATATATAAATATAAAACATATCAAAATGTATGTAGGTGTATTTATTATTATTATTATTTTTCTCTCGTTTGATTCTATATATTTTACTTTAATAATTCTAAATGAATTTTTTTAAATTAAAAAAAAAAAACAAACAAACAAAAAAACACACACACAATTGTGTTACGAGATTTGTCTACACACACAACATGCATATTCTTGAAGTGTCGGTTTGTCCACACACACACAACATGCATGTTTAGTGTCTCAACGTGA